CAGCTGTGCTCAGGGACCCCCCCCCCCCGGCCCTGGCCTGGCTTTGGACTCAGCTCCACAAACCGCCGTTGGCGTATCGGCCTGGGGGTCCCGTCTGGCAGGGCCTGTGGACATGCTGGGCCTTGTTCACCATCTGTGGTGACACTTTCATCCGAGGCTTCGTTTGTAAGTGTCATTTACCTAGTTTCCTTTACAGTTTTTTTAATTGTGGTAAAATACACGATACAAAATCTGCCATCTTAACCATTTTTAAGCGCTCGGTTCAGTGGCCGTAAGTCCGTCCACGTTGCTGTGTGGCCGTCACACCGGCCGCCTCCAGAGCGTCCTCGTCTCGCAGCCCCGAATCTGTCCCCGTGAGACACTAACTCCCCCAACCCCTCCGACACCCCCGTCCTGCCCTGGGCCCCCGCGGGTTCCACCCTCGGGGACGTCGCGTGGGTGGGACCACGTGGCCTCTGTTCTCTGTCGCCAGCTCGTTCCACTCAGCATAGCGTCCGCGGTTCCCCCGCTCTCGTGTCCTTTTGTGCGTGACGTTTTTCTGGACCAAGGAAACTTCTCTAGCACTCGCGTAATTTTTAATTCTCGTGTTCCGTGAATGAGTGTGCAGCAGATTACCTGAGGTTCTCTGAAACTTTCCTGTGCTGCCCTTCCGTGTCCTGCAACTCCGGCTGACAGAGCCCAGTCCCCTCGGCGGCTCGGTCGCGAGGGCGCCCCTAGCACGGGCTGCGCCTTCCTATCGCGTGGAGTACACGCTTCTCTTTAACAGTTCCCAGTGTGTCGGGAGAGACCCCAGGGCTACTAGGCGCCCCCACAGCTGCAGACGCTGCTGCTGCCGCCCGCAGGCCGTGCTACCGAGTGGCCCCCGCCTCTCCCGGAGGGGACCTGCCTGGGCTGGGTCCTTGTGGGTCACCCGGGTCGACCCAGCCCCAGCAGAGGTGCCGACCAGGGGCCCCAGCACATGCAAAGGAGAAGGTCTCGGAGTCCCGGCCCCACTGTTTACTCCAGACGCAGCCTGCCTGTGGCCTCGGGGCCCCCCCACGCTCCGCCCTGGGGGCCCCCTGCAGAGGGCTCAGACGCAGCCCAGACAGGCCCGCCGCCTTCTTCCTGTTCCTGGGGCACCTGGCTGCTGAGACATTGGAATGATGTCCGATAACACACTGGACGTCCCTTGGGGCGGCGCTTGCGGTCACAGCTCCTGAGGTCACTTTGCCCCCGAGGGAAACAAGTAGGGTATTGTCCTCGGGCTGTGCCCTGCCTCCACCCCTCGCAGCCCCCCAGCCGTGCCCTCCTGGGAACCTGGTGGGGTGGCGTCCAGAGGCGGGGGCCTCAGAGTCTGGCTCCGTGGGGGCCCGGGCCGGGGCAGTGGCCCTGCAGGGGCGGGAGGGCAGCAGCACCCAGGCCTGGGCTCCTCGAGAGCAGGGACCCTGGCTCAGCCACCCGAGGCTTCCAGCTCCGGCCAGGACAGGAAAAGATAAAGTGGTAAATAAGATAAAACTCGTTTTATCTGGAGGAGATAAAAGTAAACTTTATTATACGATTCTGTCTGAGGCAGAACAGTGCGTTCAAATATTTGCAGAACTGTTTAGCGGGCAGAACACAGCAAGGCCGAACGGCGGCCTGGCCTGCGGGTATCGACTGACACCCGCCTCCCCCCACCGCAGGGAGGGTCTCCCACGCCAGCCCTGGGGGAGGGGCTCCTTGGGCAGAGCCCCCCCACCCCACGCCCTCGGACCCAGAACCCTGATCTCGGGGCAGCGGTGGCTCTGTCTACACGGGGGCTCCCCACACCCCTCGGCCCGGGGGAGGGGGGGCGGACGTCTACCTGGCGTCATGTGGCCTAGGCCCCGTCTCTGCCGCGCTCCTGTTGGGAGGTGGGGGCCAGGCCTGTCCTCACTTGGGTCTTCCCTCCTTGGCGCGGCCCAGGCAAAACTCTCCCAACTGCAGTAACCCGCAGGCGCCTGAGTCCGCTGTGCCTCCTGTGGGGTGGGCAGGAGAGGCCCCTCAGCCGCCGGAATCCATGCCATGGAGTCCAGGCTCTTTGTAGCGGTTTGTGAAGTTTCCAAGCCCTGCTCGGGGCGTGAACGCGTGCTTCGTACATAGCGCCAACTCCTCACTAGGGTGGCGCGAACAGCGACGGCAAACGGAAGGCCGTCCCCCAGCAGCGCAAGAATCACACGGCCGCTGTGAGCAGACGCAGGTGCCTTTTTGCAGGCTCCAAAAGGCACCGTCGCCGGTGGCCCTTAGCAGAGTGGCCCGAGGGCAGCTGCGCTATGTGGCACCTCGTGGCTGCTCATCGTGGCGCCCCAGGAGGACAGAAGACGTTGCCATCGGTCCTCTTTCCCTGCCTCCGCTCTGGAGAGTTTCAAGCCTGCCACCCACATCGTGGCCCTGGGCCCGGAGGCTGCAGTCAGCAGACCACGGCCCGTCCCACCCTGGGCTCAGTTTGCTCGTGGGTGAGGTGCTGAGCGCAGGGCTCTGCGTGGGTCGCTGAGGGGCTGGGGGCAGTGGCGTGGCTGTCTTTGCTCAGCTGGCAGCTACCAGTCAGCTGGGGCTCAGGCCTCTCGTGGTTGGCTAAACGGCAGCCCCCGAAGGCGTCCACGTCCCAGTCCCGTGCACAGGTCACGTTGTGTGGGTGGAAACAGGGGCTTTGCAGGTGTGAGTGAAGGGTCTTGAGAGGGGGTCCTGGCGGGCCGGGTGGGCCCTGTGGTCTCCAGACTCCTTCCAGGCGGGGGCAGAGTCAGAGAGGAGACCTGATGACGGAGGCTGAGCTGAGAGGCCGGAAGATGCTCCGTGGCCCTCTCAAGCAGGCCTGGGGGACCCGGCTCAGCCTTGTGTCTCCTTGGGTGGCGTGTCCTCTTGCCTCTTGGTGTAGCCCCCGTGTGCCTGCAAGAGCCCTTGGAGCCTCAGTTTCCCCAGCCGTAGCATCGTTTGATAGCAGCGTGGTGGTGAGGACACAGGCTGGCACGGTTGCCGTCCGTGGTGCTCTGGCCGGCCCACGTGAGTGGCGGGTTGGTCCTGGCTGAGGGTGGCCCGCTGTCCCCCGGAGCACTTCCTGCTGCTGGACGCAGAGCTGCTCACCAGTTCTCGTGGGGGCCTTGAGTGGGTGGGTGGTTTCCCTACATCTTCACGGGAGGAGACGGGACGGAGGCCTCAGGCGAAGTCACGGGGCTCGCTCCTGAGTCCTGAGCTCTGACGGGACGTCCAGCCACATGTCCTCCTGCAGCCGGGGAGGAGGCGGCCGTGGGCTCTGGCTTGTGTCGGTGCAGAATCCGATGCAGGAGAGCTGCCTGGGCCCTGCGGCCGTGGAGGGCAGCGGGGGGTGCTGCGTCCTTTTGTGCAGATGCCCCGTCTGCGCCCGGGGGCCCGGGGAGCGGGTCGGGAGGGCGTCGCCTGCCCCTGGCAGCACCGGCTCTGCTTCCTCTCGGCCAAGCCAGGCTGTGCCTAACCCGCTGCCCTGCTCGCTGCGGATCAGACAGACACGTGGGAGGGTTAGGCGTGGGGGCCTCGGTGTGAGAGCCCTCAGGATGGGGTGAGCCCGCAGCCGGACCAGCAAGGGGCAGAGGCCGTGCGGGCTGGGGGGCCACGTAAAGCCCCTTTCGAGAGCCTGGCTGGAGCCCCTGGCCCCCACAGTGGGCGCCACGCTCTGTGCTGGGCGGGGTGGCCTAAGTCATTTCCCAGAGCCTGGGATGGCACCCGCTGCCGATGGGCACCGACCCTCCTGGCTGATGACTGCTCGTGTCCCCACGAGGTCCGAGCTGAGCTGGGAGCCCCCGTTGCGTCTCCCCTCAGAGGGCTCCCCACAGGGTCTGGCCTGGGGTCCTGGCCCCGTGTGTCGAGTGCATGACTCTGCCCACTCCGGCTGCCTCTGTGGGTGGTGTCTCGGGGACAGACAAGGGCATGGGCAGTTGCAGCTTGGGGACGGCCAGGCCCAGGGGGTGCTTGGAAGGGCCTAGACACCCCGTCCAAGCTGGGCAGCAAGGGTCCGAGGCGGGGCGGGGTGGGGCGGGGGTGCAGAGAGGGTGCCTGGTGGGAGGGCCTGCGGGTGAAAACTCCAGGCAGCTTGACAGAGCCAGGGCACCGGGCGTACGCGGAGCGGGTGGTGGCAGGTGAGGCCCGAGGAGGGGCGGGGCTGCGTGCCCTGCCCCCAGGCCTGCAGGGGCCCCCCGAGACCTGGGGCTGATCAGGCTTGTGCTTTGCCTCCGGTGTCCTCGGTGGGTGTGTGACTGGGATTAGTGCTACTGCACTGGGCTGTCGCCCACTGAGGGTCAGGGCAGTGGGTTATCACGGGAGGGACGTGGGCTGCCAGAGGCCAGGAAGGGGCATGCTGGCTGCTGCAGCGGGGCCGTGGGGGGAGCATTAAAATCCACTGGGGGGGCAGGATCTTGAGGAGGCCTGGGCCGAGGGCCAGTGCTATGGTCCCCTGGGCTCTGTGCCTGTCGGCTTCCTCTCTGTCCATGTTTCCCACGGGGCAGCTTCCTACCTGTCCTGTCCCCAAAGACCCCCCTCGAGGGTGCTTGGAGTCTCTGGCGCCCGTGGAATCTCTTCCCAGGCAGGAGGAGGGCCGGGGCCACCTCGGCCTGGTGCTACTCGGGGACGCTGAGCTCAGCCGAAATGCCACTGGCGGGGGTCAGGGCCCTGGAGGGTTTGCTGCAGGAGGTGGCCTCCTTATCGTCCCAGTTCTGGTGTGATCAGAGCAGGCCGCCCTCTGCGTTCTCTGTGTGCCGGCCGGGCCCAGAGAGTTGGCACAGGGTGGGGCTCTTTGTGCCTTCCCTTTGATGAGTTCCGCGGCTCAGCGGCTTCTGGGACCTGGGAGGGGAAGCGAGAGGAGAAGGGCCACGCCCTGCAGCCTCGAGGCCCCTGTGGGAGCCACAGACTCTTGGGGACAGCCTGACAGCAGGTGCGGGAGTCAGGCCCACCCGACAGGCAGCTCCTACGCTGTTGCCGCCAGGAGCCCCTGCCTGCGGCCCTGAGCTCCGGGGGCTCAGCTCCTCTTTGGAAGCAATGAGCAAAAGCAGCTTTACTGTGATGCAGTCGCGCCCCCGTCCACGGTCCATTTAGGCGCAGTGTGCCCCCCCCCCGGCGGTTCTCGGGGCGTTGAGAGCCGCGCAGCCATCACTACCATCTACATTCAGAACGTTCAGTCGCTTTGAACGGAAGCCTCGCGCCCTCCTGCAGCCGCCGTCGGCTTTCTGTTCCCGTGGGTCTGCCCGTCCCGGCGCAGTCGCGCGGCAGGTGGCCTTTTGTCTTGGGGTCTTAGCGCGCTGCAGCGTGGGTGGCGCTCCGCCCCTCTGTGGATGCTCCGCGCCTGTGTCTGCGTGCCAGCCGCGGGGTGACGGGGCTCGGGCGGCACTGGGTGGGGCCGAGAAGTGGGGCCTCCACGCCCAGGTGCGTGGGGAGGCAGGGCAGCCGGGTGGACAGGTGGCGTGGGAGCTGACCCTGTGGCCTGTCTTGCAGCTTCCTCATCGTCCTGGTCTGCCTCATCTTCAGCGTGCTGTCCACCATCGAGCAGTATGCCGCCCTGGCCACGGGGACCCTCTTCTGGATGGTACGTAGGCGCCCCGGGGGCCGTGGCAGTCGTCATAGTCGCCCTGGGGACTGGCGTCTCCTGGGCATTTGGCCCGATAAAGTGGAGCAGAGCTGTTCCCAGCCTCTCACCTGCAGTCACCTGCCGTCCAGCCCCGACTCATGAGCCAGCCCCTCGGAATGTGTGTGCCACAGGTGGGGGGGGCTGAGGAAGGAGCGGGACCTGGAGCTGGTGATCTGGGGGGGCTTCCTGGAGGAGGGGGCTTCTGAGCTGGGCCAGAAGGAAGGACAGGAGGACCAGGTGTCGTGGCTGGCAGGCCCTGCCCAAGCCTGCACAGTGGCCTTGGAGGCCAGGTGACTCCTGCTCTGGACTGTCACTGGTACACATGTCCCAGCCCTGTCCTCCTGCCCAGTCACCTGGATGGTCCCTGCACTGGCCTGAGAGGCCTTAGCCCAGCGTCACCTCTGGCAGGAGCATCTGGCAGCCACGCGTGTTCCTCCCCACGGGTGACGGCTGTGACCATTCGACCTGAGCCTGGGTCCCAGCCCTACAGGAGGTGCTCGGGGCCGTTTGAGGACTGAGAGAATTTCCAGCTGCAGGTCCCGGCCCCTTGGCCTGTGTAGCCCATCTGAGCCCCTCGCTCTGAGAACTGGGCTTTGAGGATCCTCCCAGCCAGCGGGGGCCCCTCAGGACAGCCTGGGACGGGTCCTGGACACCCCCCAGCCCAAGCGGGCCTGGCCCTGTCGGGGCGGATTCATGCGCACGGGCCTGGGAATGGCGCAAGCAGGCTCACGGGCTGGCGGGACGCAGGCACGTCGGGGGACACAGGACACCCGAGGAAGCCGCCTCAACCCAATGGCGGGTGGGCAGGTTCCAGCCAGGCTGCGCCCACCTCTCCCTGGGGCTGCGTCTGCGTTTTCGTGTCTCTTCTGGGAAGGTCTCCGCCACTGACGAAGGAAGAGTCACAACTTGGTTCCCTGTCCCAGCTTCCGCAGGGCTGGCCTGGGGCTGTCGCGCTCGTCCGCGCTGTGCTCTCCCGGCCGGGGCACCCGGCCACGCGGGCTCAGGGCCCTCCGAGGTGGCCTCCACGGCAGTGCGTTTCGCTTTTAGGCGGTCGACTTTATCTCCCTTCGTTGCTTCTGGACTTTGAGGCATCGTAAGCGCAGAAGAATCCACCCTTGACTTCTCCCAGCGCGCGAATGGCATGTTTATTTTGTGTGTTTATGTGGCCGGTGGCCGTTGGGAATTTCCTGGTGAGTGCTCTGCGGCACAGACCCGCTTTTATTCTCGCCCACGGCCTCCCCGTCGCGCCAACGCCCCTCATTCCGAAGTCCGCTCTCCTCCCGTGGTGCGAGGAGCCGTCTGTCCCGCGAGCCAGGTGTCCCGGTGCCGCGAGACCTGCTCTGGGCGCTCTGTTCCGCTGCGCTGTAGGCCTTTCCGCCACCAGGCCGCGCAGGTCTGGGTCTGCGTGTCCTGAAATCCGTGTTAGGACGTGATTTTGCACCGGGGCAGGGGTTTCCTGGTGATCTCGTGTGTTTGCTTTCACGGCTGACATGACACGTCCCTCACCCAGCTCCAGGAGGGACCCTGATGGCATCTGAAGAGTGGGCGCAGGGACGCCGGCGTCTGTGTGTCCAGGGCGTGGCGCGTCTGTCTGCGGGAGGGTTTTATGGTTTTGGCGTGTGGGTTTTACACAGTTCTCGTTAACTTCACTCATGATGGTGACACCGATGACAGGAAGCTGTGAGCTGCTATCACACAGGGTGTCTTCTCTTCCCTTACGCTTTCTGGGGACTTTTTTGGTGTCTATGGGGGCTGCTGGTTTCTGTTGTTTTTATAACCCGTGACTCTGCTGTTTCTTTCCTTGGCTCTTGTGCGGTTCTGGGTGAGGGGCCCCTGCCAGGGCTGGGGACACAGCTCGTTCTGCCCGGCACACAGGGGCGGCGGAGCCGTGGCGGGTCGGCCACTCCTGGCTGCGGCGGGGGCCGCGTACCGTGGTCGGGAGAGGCCCTTCAAGCCCCGTGTGACGGCGTGGTTGTCACGTGAGGGTGTTCTGTAGCTGGTGTCTTTCCTGCATCTGTGAGATGCTCCTGCTGGGGGGAGGCGGTCCTGCCTCGCTTTCCTGGGATAAACCCCTGGTCTTGGCACGTGATGTTCCGTGGCCGAGCAGAACGTGCTCTCGTATTGTGTCGAGGACCTTTGCGTGACGCTGCGAGGTGGTTCTGTGTGTCCTCTCGTGGTGCCACGTTCATCGGGTTGAGACCATCGTCTTTCCCCTCAGGGTGACTTCAAGTAGCCTTGGGGACATGGGGCTCGTGTTCGAGGTGTCCCCACAGCACTGCCCGGCGGCATCGCGTCCTCCTCCCCCGCTGGCTCTCAGACGGGTGTCCGGCCAAATCACCGGCGCTGTCTTGCAGGAGGGTGTCGTGCCCCAGCCGCAGCTGATGGGGTCGGCCCCACCGGGGGTGGCTTCTCCATGGGGACTGGGTCTGTGGGGTCCTCGGCCTGGGACTTGTCCGTCCCTGGAGGGCCTTGGGCTGAGGGTGCCCAGGGGCTCCCAGGCCGTGAGAGCCTGGCTGCCGAGCATTCCCTTGGGGGGTGAGTCTCCATGAGAGGCCATGTGTGCATCTGTGCACATGCATGTATGCATCTGTTCATATGCACAGGAATGTGTACATGTGTGGCTTTGTGGACACGCGTGGACACGCGTATATGAGAGTATACATGTGCATGTGTTTATATTTGCAGCCATGTGTATCTGAGCATGTATGTGATTGTATGTGTGAGTGTGGGGGGTTATGCATGTTTGAGCATGTACATGTGTTTGCATGTGTGTATCTGAGCATGTACACGTGTATGTGACCAGATACATGCACATTGTGCTGTGTACCTGTGAGCATGCACTGTATACATATTTACACACACGTGGCTATGTGTGTGTTCACGAACGTGTGTTCGTGTCATGTTTACATGTATTAATACATGTAATACGTGTACAGCGTTCATGTGTGTGGCTGTGTGTGAGCCCGTGCTGTTCTTTGTGTGCTGGCTCGCGTCGGGATGGTCAGCTCCGAGTGACCCAGGTCAGTCGCTCAGCTGCTGGGGAGCCCCGGGGTTTGGAACAGCTCCAGCGGCATGGCGCTCCCAGGGCTGCGCGAGCCTCTGGGCGTCCTGGGCCCGGCCGGGGCTGTGGGCACCAGGGCTCCGAGTTCAGAGCCCAACTTCCCAGGTCCTCGTCGTGGGCTCTGGTGGCGCCTTGGCCCCCTCCCGGGGCAGCTGGCATGTGGGTGAAGCTGTGGGGACCCTCCCAGATGCGCCCTGGGCTCTGTGCGTCCCTTTGCAGCATCCTAGAGTCCCCGTGCCCTGTGCGTGGGCCAGGCACAGCAACCGGGTGCAAACCAGCCTGGGGGGGCGCTCGCCAGCACGCAGCCTCTGCCCCGGGAGGGCAGGCGGACCTGGCAGCCTCAGGCCTTGTTGGGTGTGGCCAGGAGCCCCCTCCCTCCCCAGGCAGCGTCTCTCAGGCTGACAGGAGCTCACTGTCCCTAGATCTGGGGCCCAGGGCTGAGGTGTGTCCAGGGAGCACCTTCCTCCTCCACTGCCCGTCCTGGCTTTTCTGGGGCCCGTGCGACACCTGGCGGCCTGTCTCTGAACTGCAGCCACCGTCCTTGGCAGCCCGTCCTGCGCCTCCCTCCCCGCTGGGGCCCCTCTCAGAGGGTCCTTCCCCGCCCCGGGAGGGTAGAGACCGCACGGCCTCCCTTGACCCCATTCTTTCACGTTGGCCACCTCCCTGCCACCCTTCACGTCCCACCAGGTGCCCCTTCCACACGGCATCTGGGGGACCTTCTAATTGTCCCAGAAGCTCCCCATGACATTGGGGTAAACTCTAGCTTCTCTGCCATGGCCCCTCTACCCCCAGACTCCCCGGCCTCACCTGTCTGCGCCCTCCCTGCTCACTTCCGGCACCAGTCACTGACGCTGGGACACACTAGCTGCCCCAGGGCCTTGGCACACGCTATGCCCATAGTCTGGCTGTTTCTCTGGTGTGGCAAAGGACTGGCTTCTTGTCAGGTGCCAGGCCTCAGCTCGGTGGTCACCGCTTCTGCACGCCCTCCCCGCGTGCCCAGCACACCCTGCAATTTCTCAGTGTCTGCGTGTGATGGGGCTCAGCTGGGGGTTCTGACATTGTCTTCTCCCTCCATCCCACACTCCTTGAAGGGGGGGACCCCATGGCCATGCTCACCCCACATGCCCCGCGTGGCACCTCCAACTGTGGGCGGCCCTTGTCCATCGAGCGCATTTGCCCAGAGCTGCCCCACAGGGACACCCCAAGTTGCTGGGTGGTCCTAGGCCTCAGTTTCCCCACCTGTATAATGGAGGGGGTGGGAGACGACTCAGATTTCCCTTCCTTCACAGCCTTGCCAAGTTTCCAAGCAGTTGCCCAGCGCGCTGGCCTCGTGGACGCTGATCCTTCAGCACGTCCTGCTGCCACTCGTGTCACGGCCAGGGGCTCACTGGGGCCCAGCAGGGAGCAGGCAGCCGCTGCCCAGCCCGGGCGGGGCAGATGAGGAGGTGTAGGGGACTGGGGGGAGGGGTGCACGGCGGGTGGGGCAGGGTGAGGAAGGGGGCGCAGGCGCTGGGGGGGACCGTCCCGTAGCTCCCGGCCTCGAGGGGGGGCGGCGCAGGGCCCCGGGCTCGCAGCACGGCAGAGTCGGGGTCCTGGGAGGATGCGATGGGGTTGCGGGGTCCTCGGCTCCCAGGGTGCGGGTGGGTGCTGTGGGCAGGACAGGTGGGGGCCGCAGAAACAAAGGTGTCTGGGGCCGCGTCCGCCGGGCGGGCAGCAGGGGGCGTGCTTGTCGCGCGGGCGAGGGCTGCTGGCCGCGGCCCAGGAGCGCGGAGCGGGGAGCCCAAACCGCAGCCTTGGGGAGGCGGGAGGGGCGCGTGGGCCCCGCGCGAGGATTCCGGGCGCCGCGTTTCAACGCCGTTCAGAGCCGGGTGTGCCCGGGGAGCCCCGCTCTCCGTGG